AATGGTGTCTCTGTGCATTTTCCTAGCTCTAAGCTTTCAGTAAATTTTCAAAGGCATCTATGAGCCCCCAGCCTCATGTGAAAATCACAAACCACCAGTGCAGTGTGAGGCACCCCCTGGGGAATACAGATATTCAAGGAGCAGGCAGAGAAGAAAAAAAAAACACAGGGAGAGAGCAAGAGGCTCATGACTGAGCAGCAACTCCAAGAGAAAGATACCAAGAGACATTATCTAGATCAGAGGCGGCTGAGGAACTGATCAAGATAAGGACGGAATCCGGCAGCTGACGCCCCTGCACTGCCAGCCCTACTGCAAGCAGTGAGTTCAAGAGGGAAAGGCAGGGAGGCAGACACTGTCAATGGCACGAACCAATGGCTTTAACATTATTTCACAAAAATGGAGGGAAGGCTTTGCATAAAGGATCTGCCCCCCCTTGGGAACAATGAGAACGCAGCAAACAAAGCTGTATGAATCCAAGTCTGTTTCAAGGGCACACGGAGGAGCCGCTTCGGCACCATGCACAGCAACCAGATCCCAGCCCATTGCATTAGGTTTCCATCAACTTGACACAGACCCCATGAAACAAGTGCTGTGAAACACGTTGCTAAGTGAAGGCGTCTTCTCTTTGTGTTACCCAATAAAATCACCCAAGAAGAAGGCTCTGTGACAGATTCCTGATGCGAGCATGTTTTAGATGTGAGCAAGGCACCTTCAGATAAAATTCACTGTCATTAAGCTCCAGTGAAGGCACCTTCAGACAAAAGTCACTGTCATTAAGCTCCAGTTAAGCTCTACGTGTAGTTGATTTGTTAACAGTGCAGGCTTTGGGAGAATCAGATCCAGGATCTATTCTAGCTCTGTCACTTACTGTTTGCCCTGGCCAAGTTAATGAATGTCCCTGAGCTTGACTTTCCTCATCTGGGAAATGTGAATAGCAACACACACTTCAGGCGTGGCTGTGATTATTTAATGAGATAATATCCTTAAGCTCAAGCTCAGGGTCTGATACCCAGTTAAGCGTATTGAATGCTGGCTGATGCTACCATTATAGCGCTGTAGAAACGTGTACCATATCCACAACTATCACTTTTCTAGTAACCACATTAGAAAAATCAAAAGGAGGCCGGATGCAGTGGCTCACACATGTAATCCCAGCACTTCGGGAGGCCGAGGCAGGTGGATCACCTGAGGTCAGGAGTTTGAGATCAGCCTAGCCAACATGGTGAAACCCCATCTCTACTCATAATACAAAAATTAGCTGGGCATGGTGGTGCACACCTGTAATTCCAGGTACTCAGGAGGCTGAGAAAGGAGAATCGCTAGAATTCAGGAGGCAAAGGTTGCAGTGAGCTGGGACTGTGCCTCTGTACTCCAACCTGGGCGACAGAGCAAAAGATTCTTGTCTCAAAAAAAAAAAAAAATCAAAAGGAACAGATGAAATTAATTTAAATATTTTACTTTACCCAAGATATACAAAATATTATCTATTCCATATATAAGGAATATACAATTATTAATGTGGCATTTTCTTTTCCTTCTACCAAATCTTTGAAATCAGGTAGTTTACACGTATAGCACACCTCAATCCAGACTAGCCTCATTTCCTGTGATCAAGAGCCACATGTGGCTGGTAGTGACTGCCCTGGACGGTACGGCTGTAGACCTCTAGCTACCCCAGCAAGCGGAGTAGGTCCATAGTTCTCTCCCTAAGTATCACATTCTCCCACTACAGAAATCAGAAGTGATCTTCTCATATAGTACTAAGTTAAATTCACTTGCTGAGAGTTTTTCAGCCCCTTCTACTTCAGTCTTCAGATTACTAAAAAGTAGACAAGCTGGGCGTGGTGGCTCATGCCTGTAATCCCAGCATTTTGGGAGGCGGAGGTGGGTGGATCACTTGAGGTCAGGAGTTCGAGATCAGGTTGGCTAATATGGTGAAACCCTGTCTCTACTAAAAAATACAAAAATTAGCTGGGCATGGTAGCAGGCGCTTATAATCCCAGCAAGTCACTCAGGAGGCTGAGGCAGAAGAATCGCTTAGAATCCTGGAGGCGGAGGTTGCAGTGAGTTGAAATCTCGCACCACTGCACTGCAGCCTGGGTGACACAGTGAGACTCCGTCTTTAAAAAAAAAGAATATAGACAAGTTCCTGCGATGCACAATACACGACCATTTTAGTGAGGATCCCTAAACACTAAGCACAGGGGTCTGTGTATTTATAGTGAAAAATGACCAGATGGCAATGAAAGAACTTCTAAGTGACAAGTTAGAGGGTGTCAAGGAATGACAGAGGTGGCATATGATGCTTTTAATGAAATGAACAACCTTCAAAACCACCGTGTGCCTAAGAACTGCCAAGGAAAAGCAGCACTTAGCCCAGTACTAGCCAGAAAGGCAGAAGGGAAGGCAGGGAACACAAGCCTTCAGGGAACGGCTACACAAGTGACCTCTCAACCCACAAGGGTCACAGGCTTAGCAGGTCTGCAGCACAGATAAGCACCTCTGGCAGCACCAGCCATGACAGCATTGCTTTGGACGGTCTATGGCTTTACGTTCAAAGACAGCGCAAGATGAAAGAGAAGTGATATGATTTTAGGGGAAGTGGGAGAAACTTTTTCCTTTTCTGTAGTCAGAAGAGGAACTAATTTAATGCAAAATATGTTTTTCCAAGTTTTCAATTTAAGGGGGTAATACACCTCTGACATGAGATATTGATAGAACTTTCACCACGTATATTAACATACTTTTCTCATGATCATTTGACTAACAAAGTTTAATATAGGGTCTCTGAGAGGTAGATTCAAAACTCTACAATTGCGAAATTTAAACAAAGAAACTGAAATTATTATTTTAAGTCATCACAAGGAGACCAATTCAGCAAACACGACAATTCCAAAGTCTAACAGAGTCTGAGTCATTGACTCTAGTGGCAAGCACCCTTTGGCTGCCAGTCCCCAAGGTCACCCCGTCACACTAATATATGTTATGTTCACAATAATCATGGTGCCCAGAAGAGACCCAATTATATCTGAAATACTCTCACTAGAGAATCCAAGAAGGTGCATAAACCACTTCAGAAAGACAAAAGAGTTATGTTTCAGTTTGGCCATGTTATTTGTTGGAGGAAAAGTTATATTTTGGATAGTGCAGAGTAATGTAAACTCCAACAGAACTGGGCATCTATTGGTGGTATAACCTTGCATATATTACTCAACTTACCTAAGTTTCACGGCCAGGCACAGTGGCTCAGGTCTGTAATCCCAGCACTTTGGGAGGCCCATGTGGGTGGATCGTTTGAGGTCTGGAGTTAAAGACCTGACTGGCCAACATGGTGAAACCCCATCTCTACCAAAAATACAAAAATTAGCTGGGTGTGGTAGCACATGCCTGTAATCCCAGCTACTCAGGAGGCTGAGGCAGGAGAACTGCTTGAACCTAGGAGACGGAGGTTGCATTGAGCCAAGACTATCCCACTGCACTCTAGCCAGGGCGACAGAGTGAGACTCCATCTCAAACAAACAAACAAAAACGAACTTCTCGAAGTTTCATCATCTATAAAACAGGACTGTCAATGTTGACTTTGCAGAAGTTTTGTGAAGGTTAGGTACTACGTACATAAACGTGCTTCATGTACTGTCTGAAACAGGAGGTGTTTCATAAACAGTTGTATTGATCATAACAAGAGGAAATGATACATGTATGTTTATTTTCTTGTCACAATAAAGGCATCACTGGAAAAAAGTTTTAATAAAAGACAGGAAAAGGTAAAGGACATTACACTGACTTCCTTTTTGAACCTGGGCATATATCAGGCATGCAAATGAGATTCATTTTCTCAATCTTTGAAACCACATGTGAATTTAAAAAGTTTTATTTGCCTGGTTTAATGAAACAGGACAAGAGATTGGTCTTGGATGCCTCTGCAAGTGACCTTGAAAAGTGTGCTGTGTTTTCACAACTTTGGTATTCACCCATGACAGATTTGGCATGTGAACAGCAGGGCGGGATGTGGGGGTTAGTGAGAATGCAGTGAGGAGGGTGGACAATGTGTGTTTTTCTGTGTCTATATGTGTATATGCTTTAAGTATTTTTTTTTTTTTTTTTTTGAGACACAGTCTCACTCTGTCACCCAGGGTGGAGCCCAGAGGTGTGATTTCAGTTCAGTGTGGCCTCGACCTCCTGAGCTCAAGCAATTATCCAACCTCAGCCTCCCAAGTAGTTGGGACTATAGGCATGTACCACCATGCCCAGCTAATTTTTTATTTTTCCTAGAGACAAGGTCTCACTATATTGCCCAGGCTGGTCAGAACTCCCGGGCTCAAGTGATCCTCCCACCTCGGCCACTCTAAGTGCTGTGATGACAGGCATGAGCCACTGCACTTTGTCTGTTCTAAGTCTTAATGTACAAAGATTTCCTCCCTCATGGTCTCAAAAGAACCCTCTCAAACTACCAGAGACTCCTTTGGTAATGAGGAAAAGTTTACATCTGAAAAACTCATTCACACTAAAAAAAGATAGTATTATGATTATTTTCCTTAAAGCAGTTCCTTACATTTTAAGAGAGGGTGTTCCCTAAAAAGATACCTCAAAGAAAAATCTCTGAGGTCTAAGAAATGTAAACACAATTGCTATAAATATATTGATATAAGAACTTTGTGTTCTGGTAGTAGAATATGAGGAATCAGTAACAATAAAGGAGATAGAAACCTTTCTTAATACCCCTCAAATCAAACCCCATAGGTGACTTTTTACTACAGCTTCAGGTTAGTCTCATTTCAAGTAAGAGATTTCCTCACAGTTATGCAACTCCATGGTGAATGCTGTGTGTGTGTGTAGACTTCAAGCAGATATACTGCACTACTGGATTCTCAGTAACATTTAGGATTCATCTACCAAACTGGAACTTGCGCTTGCTTTGCTTGTGATTAGTTTGAAATTGTCAAAGCCAGCCAGGAGTTATTCTACCAACACGTTCACGAAAGACACGTGGCTAAGTTTACCTTTCTTTGGTCTGGGTTTCACTGGCAGGGACTCCTTTCTTTCCATAGCCGCTTCTCTTTCTTTCCATCGTCGGATCTGTTCCTCTCTCATCTTGAAGAACAGGATCTGTTTCTGTTCTTCGCTGAGCTCTGCCAGTAGATCAGGATCTATGTACATCTCCGACAGTATCTGTTTCAGCATCTTTGCAGTTCTGGAGTCTTTTATACCTGTGGCAAAAGTTCCTGAAACTGGCCTCCAGGTGTCCCTTCACCTGTGCTGGCCCTTGGGCGTGTCCACAAAACTTCCCGAACAGCTCACAATCCTGGCTGACTGGGGCAATAATTCAGCAAACTGGCTCCTGAGACCTGGCACCAAATGTCCGGTCCAAAATGCTGTTCACTGAACCTACAGAGAGAAAGAGCCCGCATTCAGGTGGCATGTTAAAATGTGTGGACACTGGCTAGGACGGGTTAAAAAAAAAAAAGCCAGGAGGAAATACAGTATCACTTTTCATTTCAGGGAGAAAACAGAAAAAGAAAACCTGAGGCACACTTTGTTAAGAGTTTGTGTAACTTCTATCCTATAATTTCTAAAGATACTTTGTCAAAAAAAAGAAAACAAACGCTAACTTTATACAGGTCAATCTCAGGGAAACAAAAAAAGTTCACAGAGGTTTGTCCTGCTCCCAACTAAGCAAACACATTATTACCCCAGAGCCTAACAAACCACCAACTGTGTGGCTGAAAAAAGAAAGGCAAAAAAAAAAAGGTCACATGAAGAAATTAAAAGGCTCTCTGCAAAGTACCTATTTCAAAAGAAAATACCATTTTTGAGATGTCACAGAGTAACTCACCCCAAACCAAACCAAAATAGAGCCATGTTCAAGGAAGAAAAAGGAAGAAATAAAAACTAGACCACCATGCAATTTCTGTAATTTCCCTAAAAAGTAGCATTAAATAAACATAATTATGTACTTTCCTCTTCACAAAAGGATAATGTAATTTCCAGGCAACCTACTAGAGCCATGAAAATCAGGGCAGGTGCAAGAGAGAACATCCGTCTACATTCTGGAAGGTCACCGAGTTTTAGGTGTGCTTTTACTAGATAACCTAGTTTAATAAAATCTAAATGGACAGACCAGATAAACTAGCGGGATGAAGAGGTCATTAGGTTCATAACAAAGGATCCTTGATTTATATGAGTTTACTGCATGGCTCCTTGAAAGAGAAACCATAAATCGAGCGTGCACAGTGGCCTCCTAGAGGTTCTCCTGGGGTTGGAAATCCCACTGAGGTTTCATTCTGCTTTCCACATTTCTATTTGGTTGGCTTAAAAATATTACCACACTGTCATACTTTTTCTCTCTATTTTTAAACAATTTCTAAGTCTCATAAACCATCATACTTTTGTAATCAGAAGGAAACTATGTAAATATTTCTATTCTGGAAAACAAGACTTTGGATTCGATGTAGTACAATGTAAGAAAAAAAACTTACTACAACTTTTCAGAATCACATGTGTCCTAAGAAGTTGACCAATAGACTAGGCATGGTGGCTCACGCCTGTAATCCCAGCACTTTAGGAGGCCGAGGTGGGTGGATCACGAGGTCAGGAGTTCGAGACCAGTCTGACCAACATAGTAAAACTCCACCTCTACTAAAAAAACAAAAAATAGAGAAATTAGCCAGGCATAGTACTGGGCACCTGTAATCCCAGCTACTCGGGAGGGTGAGACAGGAGATCGCTTGAACCCAGGAGGCGGAGATTGCAGTGAGCCAAGATCGCGCCACTGCATTCCAGCCTGGGTGACAGAGAGAGACTCCATCTCAAAAAAAAAAAAGAAAAAAAAAAGAAATTGACCAATAGTTTGTTGTTTATAGTAATACCTCAATAATCTTACCACCTTGCCATGTGCTCTCAAATATCTTGTTTCTCCATACTATGTTCAAACACTCTTAAACTTTAGACAAGTCACTTAGCTATATTATGGCCATCGTAGTGTTGGTTTCTCTTTGTTTACCTTGTCATTGATACAGCTAGATTTGTAATGCTTCTCTCACCACCTGGGGGCCTCCTTCGGCTTCCTGTCTTCCTCCTCTTCCTTGCAAAGTTGTTCCTTGATGTACATCTGTCTTTTGAGACGAGCACGCGCAATAGCTAGGCTACCACAGAATGGTGTGCATACGCAGCACTCAGATTCGCTGACTGTTCATTGCGAAGCCAGACCCTTGATGAAACTACACCTATCCCTACTGACTGCAACCTATCATCTCAGCAGCATTCAACTACCGGAATTCAAATGGAACCAAATATTAAGAGAAAACTTTTAAAGGACTAAAAGTAATGTCACGCCCCCTCCCAGGTCCCCTTGCTAACTTTGTATTTTGCATGGAGATACCCTTAAAGGGTTGAACAGTCAAACAAATGGATGTCTTGTAATGATTTCTTGACTGTTTGTTTCTAGCAGCTTCTGAAGGGGTGGAGCCAATGAAATCCACAAGCTCCAAGATAAAGTGGTAAGAAATGACACGGAATGACTCCTTGACATTCCAGTAAATGTCTTTATGTTCTGTGGTTGGCTTTCGCAGAAATCACACATGGCAGAAAATGAACAGTTCAGTTAGGGTTGAGACTCCTGCTCTGTTCCCCATTTTCAATGCGGTGAGTCCTATTCAAGGCGTGGGTAGAGCCTAAAATCTAAAACCCTTAAAGCGCCAAAGTCACATTCCTACTGTCTCCCCCGCCCTGCATATTCCTGATAACACAGCTAACACTTCTCGTACCAGGCACCATCTTAATTAAGCACTTTACCTGTGTTAACTCGCTTAATCTTCATAATAACCCTTCGAGTCCAGCCCATCACTGTGCTCATTTCACAGATTAGGAAGACAGAGCACAGGTCAGCAGCTGGTCAGCGGCAGAGCCGGGCAGTCCAGCTCTAAGTCAGCTTCACTGTCATCCACAGCACAGAGGCCTTTTTGTGAGTTTATTTGTGTGCCCAGAATCAGAACAGCAGGATGTGGCGCCATGTATGAAATTTCAGAATGGAAGCCAGCAAATTCCTGCAGCAACAGAAATGCTGAACTGATGGTGCTTGACACAGGGCAGAAGCCTCCTCCTGGTCCGCTGTAGCTAAGCTTAGGGGACGCCGGGTGAACACAGCCCAGCCAGGAAGGACAGAAAAGAACCGACTGCCACACTGGCCCAGGTGTGGACATTGTTTACCCACGTATTCACCAGACACCTAGTCCCCTCCATTTCCCCTTGCACTTAGTCATCCACTTCGTCTCCACAATTTCCCCTTCCAAACAAACACTAAGAACAGTGCAAACAGCACAGCCTCTCACATGTGCAAGGAGGTTCACGGCACCTCTGTGATGAAATGCTTATATTGTTTCCATTTTTATGTTGTTTTGTTTTGCTTTTTATAGCAAACGTGGATTTCTAACATTAAAATTAACTAGTTCATCTTGAAGGAAAGACACTGGCTTCCTTGTGCCTCCCAGAATACTTGGAAGGCCCAGCCAACAACTATCTGTGGTCAGGTCGTTGAAGATGTGACCATTCTGCGGCTGCTGAATGGGACTGGTGTAAATCACCTGTCCCCTCACCCCCAACTCCCATCCCCTAACCCCCACCCCAAGGCTTTCTCAGACTCCAACTCAAGCTCAGCATAGTGCACCCAAGACACCCAGAGGCACTCCAGCCTCAACTCCCAGCTCCGCCTCTAATGAGCAGTGTGGCTATCACCTCGCCTCCTCGGGACTCGGTTTCCTCATCTGTGAAACGAGGGCTAGTTCAGTCTGTGACTCCTAATGCGTGGGTATGTGACATAATCTACTGTGAAGTGAAGGAGACTGGTGGAGCCACGGTAGAAGAAATAGAAATGAGGAAATTAACTAACCAGGGTTTTCCCACTTTCGTTCCCTGACGAGAACAAATAATCATTGCTGATACGGATTCAAATGCTGAGGACTTTCCCATACTATATCAAGGGCAGCAAACCTCCAGTTATTCAAGATCCAACAAAGGAATAGCTCAGCTAACACAGCACCTTTCTTAAAAGAGAGAAATGATAAGAAGCAAGCCCACACCTGCGATTTATTCTGAACACCAGTTGCTAAAGGATCAGAGAATCTGTTGTTTTCCATAATACCATAGATTTGACCTGATTCTCACACCTTCACACTGTTCTACAATACAACTGTCTTTTGGATAACTCTGATACCTAAACAAAATAAAAAATTTTAAACGCCTAAGATACAGCCTAAATCATAAAAATAGTAGGCCAGGCACAGTGGTTCAAAATGTAATCCCAACACTTTGGGAGGTGAATGTGGGTGGATTGCTTGAGCTCAGGAGTTCGAGACCAGCTTGGGTAACATGCCAAAACTCCATCTCTACACAAATATAAAAATTAGCCAGGTGTGGTGGCCCACACCTATAGTCCAACCTACCTGGGAGGCTGAGGTGGGAGGATCACTTGAGCTGGAGAGTTTGAGGCTGCAGTGGGCCAAGATCGCACCACTGCACTACAGCCTGGGTGATAGAAGGAGACCCTGCCTCAAAAATGAAAAACATTAGGTCGGTGCAAAAGTTATTGTGTTTTTTTATGGCCTAAATAAATAAATAAATGCGGTTTTTGCCATAAAAACCACAACTACTTTTGCACTTACCTAATAAAATAAAAAATAAATAAAAGTATTGTGGTATGGACAGTGTAACTATAACATTAACAATACAGCTTGAATTCTAATTCTTTTAAAACAGCCAGCTCTGTGGTCGAGCTTTGTTTTCTTATTCAAACTTTATCTTATTCATCTACCAGCAAAAGAGCTGTTTTTGAGGATGAAACAAATTACCAGAGATGACAGCAATTTGGCAAGTTTTGTAAATATATACTATTCTTCAGAAATTTGAAGTTACTGTACACACAGATTTAGTACACATAGAAAATTCCACTCCTATGCCAAATCTATGCCCCTGTATGCTTTCCACTTATTTATTCACTATTTTAAAATAATGGTACCCAAGTCGTTGTTTCCATTAAACCAGCAATTAAATAAAAGCCTTTTGGGCGATGAGGAGCATCTGTTTGGAAGGGGGAGGTGCCACGCTTGCTGTTTCTCTAAGCTCCCTGGGAAGGGAAAGACAACTCAGAAAACCTACAAACTGTAGCTCCTTCCTGTGCCCGCGTAACCCCCGAGTCCAGGAGCGGGCAGGGGCGCCGCTTGGTTGAGCCCAGTGGGCACCCGGTCTGGGTCTGGGCCAGCCCCGCCGCAGCAGCCCCTGGGAGGCGGCGCTGCACGGGCCTCCGCGCGCGCCCTGACCCCACTTGGGGGCGCCCCTGGGTGCCGGCGCGCGGGGAACGCGCTGCCGGGGTGCTGGGCCGGCTGCCACTGTTTCCCGGGACTTCCCTCTTGGAAGATCTCCAGGCGCAGGTCCAGGACGTGCTCCTGCTAGGAGTCTAGAAACTCCAGTCCAGCCCGGACCCTCCCGGGGCCTGCACTCCCGGCGGGTAGAAGCACGCGCCGCGTGTACCCGCCGGATCCCAGAACTTCCCCGAAAGTCCTCAGCTCCGGCAGACCCTCTCCCTCGAAGTTCCCCCCGCCACCCCTTGCAAGCCCCCAGACCCCGGGGACAGCCGCTCACCTAGCCAGCAGCTCCAGTCACCGGACACCGGACACCGGATACCCGCCGCAGCCACTCTAGCCGCCCAACACCGCACCTGAGCCCGCCCCGGGCGGCGCGAAGGGGTGGAGGCGGGGGTGAGGCTTCCGCCCGCCCCCTCTGGCCCCTGCGCCTCCCATGCACCCCTGCAACCCCCGAGGAAATTCCCTTCCCCCTACTCCCACCCCATGCACACTCTCGCCAAAGCCTCTCCCCAACCCCAGCACCTACCAGTGCTGGGCGCCCCTGGGCAGGGTGGCCCGATCACCCGCCACATCCACTTGGCCGCCAGAAGCCGTCGTGGAAGGGAGGGAGGGAAAGGCAGAAGCGTCCCAAGCGGCGCAGGCGGGCTGAGCAAATACTCTGACCGGGACGCCAAACAGCTCCTGCAGCCGGCCCGCCCGCGCCGCCCCGCCGCGCCCACATGCCGGGGTGACTGGCGGGGCGCGATCGCGGCCCCACCCGGGCGCCTGGAGGCTCTCCAGGGACAGTCGTCGGCCAGGCTGCGTGGCCTGCGCATCTCGGGCCGCCTGGTCTGCGCGCTGTCCCCGAGCTGCGGTAGTCCGGGGTAGCCTTGCTCCTCTCCTCTCTTAGTTCGTGGGACTGGGATCTGCAGTCTATGATCTCTTGGGGATTGCAGGACTTAGATTAAATCAGCAGGTCTGGGCCTTTCCATGTTTCAGAGCTCGGGGTTCCATGCGAGGTGGAGGGTAGGAGGGTGCGCGGGCCCCACTTGTTCACTCGGCTTGGGTGCCGCAGGCCAAGGCGACTCTAGAGCTTTTTTTTCTTTCTTTCTTTTGTTGACATTAAGTAAATGATCAAACTCTTTGGCACTTGTCGGTACAGGTGTGGCTTTGTAGGACAAGATGAAGGACGGAAAAGGCTGAGAAGGAGACCGCAGTCAACACAGACCAGGAGAAAATGAAAGAAAACTGGGGAAAAAGTTAAGATGCTGAAAGGAGTCTTGTGGATTGCAACAAGAACAGGTTGGGTTGGGGCCTGAAGACATCAGGGAGGAGCTGGCAGTCCACAGTTAGAGGAAATCTTGGAGGAAAATTCAGCAGAAGCAGAGTGGAAAGGCATTTCCACTGGAGGGCATTTTCCATCCTAGAGGAGTATGTGGAAGAAAACCGCCTACTTTGGTGAACCCCAGATTTTATGTGTTGGGAGAGATGTAATAAACAGCAAACACCAGTAGTCCTCTCCACAGACTACTTGACCTCTTCAGGAGCCTGACCTGCTGGGTTCAAACATAAAACGTCATTCCCCGCCTTTACAAACGGCAGAAGCTATGCAGTCACATCAAGCCTCGGGGCAGGCGGCATTGTCAGGAAACAAGACCCAGCTATTTAGGAACCATTCCAGGGATCCCATCAGGGAGGAATTTCTGGTCTAAGGCTTAGTTCCTACTGCAGTTTAAATGATAGCCTATGGGGTGCTTTAGGCTGGAGTGGGATTGGCCCCTGGAAAGCTACTATGGCGAGGTCAAAATGAATCCTAGCCCTGCATGGATGGATCGGTTAACTATACAGGGTGGTTTATCTGGAAAAATCCCACAGGACACTGTGACAGCCAGTTACCTTTCTCATACCCAGTCTCTCTCCAGGTCCTGACAAGTCCTTCCTTATAATAGCTCTGTCACTGTGCTACTAACCTCTGTACCTCAATTTCTTCTCTGGATAGAGTGTCTGCCTCCGTAAGTTGTTAAGAGGGTTAAATGAGATACCGCATGCAAAGGGATTAGAACAGCTCTTGGCATGTGGTGAGTGTTCAAACACATTTGCTCAGATCAGTTCATATCACATTAAGGTACTATAATTCCAGGTTCCTGCCATCTCACCCTAGGCTATGGGTTCTGCCCACCATGCCACCTACATTCCAAGTCATTCCTAGGGATCCCGTCTTCCTGTTATTCACACCCTTGCATAGCTCCCCGCCACTTTGTAAAGGTTGGTTTGCTTGACCAATAGAACCCGGCAGAAGTGATGATGGTATGCCACTTAGGAGATGAGGTAAGGAAACATCTTGGAGCTTCTATCTTGAAAGAATGTTAACAGCCCAAAGGAACACACACTGTACACAAATAGCACAATCAGCTCAGAACCCAGACTCTTCCCTTTTCTCTCTGCCCCTTTCCATCCTTCTTGTCTCATGCCTCTTTCCTGTATTTGGCATGATCTCTTCTTCTCTTATTTCTATAGTTTCTTCTCCATCCTCTTCACTTGGTCTACCCTCGCCTCTACCACATTCTCTTTTTGTTCCCTTTCTCCTGACTCCTGGAATTTCCTTTTAATTGGCATGGTCTGGAAGAGAAAAGGTCGATGTTTTTCCCTTAATTTCAAAAGTAGACAATACGAATTTGTGTGTGTGTGTGTGCGCGTGTGTGTGTGTGTGATGGAGTTTCACTCTTTTTGCCCAGGCTTGGAGTGCAGTGGTGTGATCTTGGCTCACTGCAACCTCCGCCTCCTGGGTTCAAGTGATTCTCCTGCCTCAGCCTCCTGAGTAGCTAGGATTATAGGTGCCTGCCACCACTCCTGGCTATTTTTTTTTTTTTTTTTCAGTAGAGACAAGGTTTCACCATGTTGGCCAGGCTCATCTCGAACTCCTTACCTCAAGTGATCTGCCCACCTTGGCCCCCGCAAAATGCTGGGTTACATGCATGAGCCACTGCACCCGGCCAAGAATGTTTTATAATCCTCTAAAAAGAATCGGGTGGCCTATTACTTGTGGGACCCTCAGTTGCTTTTTCCCCCTCTTTGGGCCAGTACTCGCAGAAGAAAACATTTCCCCCCTCCGTAATCTAGGATGTGTGTCATAGGGAGGAATGTGAGGAGGACTACTGACAGGGGCTGACTACTCACTACTCACAGACATGGAACATGGTGGCACCAACACATGTGTTCAGGAATGCCCTGGTGCAGCGTTCACTGCCAGAACTCAAAGAGAAAAGCTAAATATCTATTTATCAGTTACTAATATTTTTAATTTGTCATTTATTCGTAGTAATGAATACCATGAAACAAATAGCCTACATTTTAATGGATGTGTTCCTTGGCCTTAGTTTTAGAATGTTGCTTAGGAGCCCTGCTGCCCAGGACTGTCAAGGAAAATGGCATAGCATGGCACTTGTACAACTATGGGTGGGCAGAGGACAAGCGGGATATCACTATGTGTAAGGTGCCCCCTGGAGTTGTGTAGCACTGCCAGCCCTATTGTTGCCAGAAAGACAGGATAATCCACTTTGCACTTTTTCTAAGTTAAAGATTAATCTTTAAGTTCTACAGACAATGAAAATTACCTTCATATGTTTTCTTTATAAAATAAAATATTTTTCCTGTCATATTTTATGATCAGCATCAGAAACCTCAACCACTTTTTAACTGTTAAAGCAGTTATTTACTTGTTCCACAATGAATGTAATGTACATATGAAAGAAAAATACAAAAACATTTAAACTCTACTAAAAACTGATCAAATCTCAAAATAAATCTCAATCAGTTCATCAATCATTAAAAATATATTGAGGGTCTGCTATGTTTTCAGCTCTCTGTGAGCAGTTAGATTTGATTCTGAACTATTTTCATTTGTGTATGGTTCTGTATGGGCCTTTATTTCTTCATCTTCATAAACACCAAAATAAATTATTGGTCTTTACATTCATCTTTGAATCAATTACATTACTGTAATTTTTAATGTTTTTCTAAGAGTTACCTTTATGGAGTTCTTTAAAATCCACACTCTGAGTTGCTAATTAGACATTTCTGGTTTCATATGTATATATATATATTTATTTTAGACGGAGTCTCGCTCTGTCACCAGGTTGGAGTGCGGTGGCACGATCTCGGCTCACGGCAACCTCCGCCTACCGGATTCGAGTAATTCTCCTGCCTCAGTCTCTCAAGTAGCTGGAACTACAGGCGCGCGCCACCACACCTGGCTAATTTTTTAGTATTTTTAGTAGAGACGGGGTTTCTCCATGTTGTTCAGGCTGGTCTTGATCTCCTGACCTCGTGATCCGCCCACCTCAGCCTCCCAAAGTGCAGGGACTACAGGTGTAAGTCACCATGCCCAGCAGTTTCTTACATTTCTGTAATACAGTGACAAGCAGCCCGTGGCTCAGAGAACTGCTGACTTAAAACTTACAGCTGAAATTGGACAGTCACTATCCAAATGATATGGGACATCTGCAGTGGCCTATGGTAACCAGTGCTTTTTGACGGGTCAAAGCTCCGAGAAAGGAGCAGAAGCAAACTTTTTCTAATATTCTGGTGTTCCTTGGATCTTCCCAGGCAGTTTTCAAAAGGTCTACTAGACTCATAAAATCAAATTTCATCTCTTTCTTGGACCAGATTCAGAAATGGGTTTCCATTTCCTAGCTTCTCTCTTATATGAAATCTTTGCAAAAAGTTCACAAATCCCTTTTAGTTTTATAAGGAATTTTCCGCAAATGAGTACAGCAATTCTCAAGTACATATTAAAATAATCCAGGGAGATTTTCTTTGTAACATTTGCCTCTTTGTCTGCTCCTCCAAGGAGTTATTTGATTGGGATGGGATGGAGCGCAGATATCAGCATTTTTCAAAGCATCCAAGGGGATACTAATGTGGGGCCAAGGTTGAGAGCCACTAAAATATACGGAAATAAAGTTATTTGGCTATGAGAAATGTTGAAAAAGTAGTAATAGCACTTCCTGGACTTGACTGAAACATACATAAGGCTAGATAGTCATCTTCTTGGTTCTGGTCTTTGAGTGAGTTCCTGAAGTTAGTCTGAGATGGACTTTCCACCAAACCCAGCCTGTCATTTAATAGGATTGGAATGAAGTGAGATGCATAAGATGACAGTGTCTGGCTTATTACTGGAGGCCCAACATATGTAAGTTTTGCTTCTTTCCTTCCTTTCACTTCTTCCTGGTTTTGAAACCCCCAGCATTCCCTCTGGCCCTTTAGTTGAGGAAGGCATTTCCTTCTTTGGTACCAAAGTCTCGCCCACTCCCACATATACCCCATGCGTGGCTCCAAGTGTCCTCCAGATTTCTCTAACTGAAAGCTGAAGTTCATTCTGCCCTTGGGTAAAGTAAGACACTTTGTCTCTTCCCCTAATTGTATGTTTGAATAAGAGCCGGCTTATGGCCTCTTTAATAAGTGCCATTGTTTAAGTTTGAAAGAGTTGGTTTTGACTGGTGTGTTGATATTTTAAGGATAATTAAATGTGTACAACCCCCAGTATAGTTTCTAGTGGAAGGGCATGGCCCATAGGTGACTGATCATTCTATACAAATAGAGAAATATGAAAGAGAGTAGCTCCCTGAACCCTTTGGAGAGAGGGTTCTAGATTCTTAGAAATTATATAGCCACATTCACCAATTTAAACATCACAGAACTAGTCAGTGGCATACAGAATCAAAATAAAGGCTTTCTGATGCATAATCTTTACATAGTTACTACACTGCATTCAGTTAACTAGCTCATTTACCTTACTGAATTCGGCAATGAAAGTGAAGCAAGGCACCATCAGATCTCTCTCCTAACAGACAGCACCTATGTCTCCTGATGGAGAGCAGATGGGAGCTACCTCCAAGGCTGCACTGGTTCGTGGCCGGCTGGTGTACAG